TTTGGGAGCAAGGAGTTTGGGAAATCGAACAAGAAAGTGTCATCAATATTGCGTGCACGATTGCACCGATATTCGTTGGCTAACGGTTTACTATATTATAGCACCGCCTCAACGGATATACCACGAATTGTGGTTCCTCATGATAAGGATTTGAAATATCGCATCCTCTATGAGGCTCACGATACGTCACTCAGTGGTCATCTCGGTCGTGAGACAACTTACAACTCTGTGAGTCACGTTGTACAAATGGACGAGCACCTATGGTCGCACGTGTGAGACGTGTCAAAAAATAACCCTCTCCAAATGCAGCTGTGCCGCTGGCCGGCTTACCGGTACCCACTGGATGCTGGCAGTCCATGAGTTTGGACTTCGTGTTTGGCCTGCCGAAAGATTCGGCGGGCAACACGGGGGTCGTGGTATTCGTCGATTGGTTGAGCAAGATGACTCATTTGGCAGCGGTGTCAGACACCATCGACGGAGTCGGCACAGCAACGCTGTTCAGGATCGTGTTTTCCGACATCACGGACTCCCAGAGTCGATTGTCTCTTATAGAGACTTCGTTTTACCGAAACTTTTTGGCCGACTATCTTCAAGGTGCTAGGCACCAAGTTGGCTGGATATGTCGACAGCGGATCATCCGCAGACCGATGATAGACTGAGCGCGTGGATTGCATCGTTAAAGACGTCCTTTGCAGCATCTGCGCTGAGACGCCGGAACGCTGGAGCGCTCGTAGAGTTTGCTCTGAACAATACAGTGCACTCATCTACCGGCTATAGTCGTTCAACGTGAACGGACTTATTAATCCTCGCGTCCCGCTGACGCTGCCATCCCATGGCTCAGGGCTTGGTGGGGGAGGAATAGCCGAACGGCTAGCTGATTTCAGCGCCCTCGCCGTGCGAAAAGAAGTCGGAGACTCCCTGTCTACAAGTCTGAGTGTCTGACGACACGTCCGCGATGCGATGACCGTAAGCCAAGACATGCAGAGGAATATGCAGAAGAAATGTTGAAAACATTGAGGTCAGAAACCTGGTCTTATTTAACGCAAGACATCATCCTACATATGCAGTTTCTGCTGTCTTTAAGACGAATCTCCGTCCACAATTCATAGGACCTTTTAAGATCGTGGCCAAGCGAGGCCTTAGCGTATACGCGGACCCTTCGAGAAGGATGCGCACCCACCCGGTGTTTCATGTGGTCTTGCTTAAGCCGTACCGGGATCAGGCGCAAGTGTAAGCGGAAGCGTTGGCACCGAAACAGCGCCCAAAGGCGCTCGGCCACCCAGAAGCAGAACCAGCAACTGGTTCTGAGCACGGAGTACTACAACCTCCATTTCCAATGGCGCAAGGCGCTCTACCGTTGCACGAAGTGACGTATTCGCCTGCTCGACGGCTAGGAGCAACTCTGACAAAGCACGATAATCCTCAACGCGAGGCAGTCAGTGCACAAAATGCTCCAGGCTCTCGAGAGCTTTTGCACAGCGGTAGACGACCTCGGATATATGCATGGTAGAATGCCGATGACGACGGACTTTGTCCTCGAATGCTCGAAGAGCATTGCGAGTCACCGGCTGGCAATCGGTCAAGTCGTCATAGTCCGCCGCCGACTCTTCTTGATAAGAATGGTGGCGTCCACTATCACGTGGAACGCCTTGTGGATCGACGTCGTCGACGGGGGGGGGTTAACCCAATATCTTATGTAGTGGCGGGGATACTCAAACTCCGAGAACTCGTAGGAGTTTAAGGTGTCACTTCCGCAAGACTGCCCAGACGTCGTAGTCGCTTATGATCAGAAGGATTTTGTCGCTTCGAGTCGTCTTGCGCACCGCGCTTCTCGGCAGTAGCCCGGGTAGCCGGAGGGGCATGAGCTGAGCTCAAGGTATGGCCCTGCGCTGCTCACAGCAAAGTCACAAGGTAGTGGACGTGCGCGTTGAGCGCCATCGTAGATCTGATTTTGCCAGACCCAAGGCGACCTCCTGTGTATCGTCGCCTGGGACTATCCATAACGCATCTGCAAGCTCTGTGGTTTCTGACATGGGTGAGTCTACGACCACAGCCTGTAGCAGCGCTACACACATATCATCACCCGAGTGTGCAGCGCAGATCAAATCCGTCACTGACGACGTCACTGTCGTAACATGAGCAAGTTCATAGTCCGGTCAGTCCAGTCCACGTGACCACGCATCAGCCCAAGCATTCTGCTTTCCTGGCTTATACTTCACCACGAAGTTATATATTGCAAAGAAGAAGAGCCGCCTGGCCATCCTCTGCAAGAGGTGAGGCGACTGAGTCGCAGTGCGGAGTGACACATAATTTGTGTAGATCACAAATGGATTTGAGCCAAGCAGGTGCACCCTGAACTTGACAAGTGCATACTTCATCGCGCTATACTTGTGCAAGTAGTTGGCGAAGCCAAGCCACTTGCGCAAGTCCTATTGAATTTTGGAACTGGCCAGTCCTCAATGGCCTTGATCTTAGCAGGATCCGCTCAAAGGCCACGCTTCCTAACGAAGCACTCTAAAAGGGAATTTCTTTCGCGCCGAAGATGCACTAATCGACATTAGCATATACGCATATACCTTATTCGTGCGCATGCACTCGAGCACCACTCATGAATGGACGATGTGGGAATCCTCATCTGTCCTCCAGTGCCTCGCACGACTGTGGACGAAGCTGTCGTCAAAGTATGTCTGTGCATACGCCAGATGGGGCCTGAACAACTTCGACACAAGACAATTAAATGTTGTTGATGCATTTGACAGCCCTTGTGGCATCAACAGCCACTCCCAGAGCACTCCGTTTGAAGGACTCACCGCTGTCAGCAGAATATCACTCGTTCTCATGGGCGATTGGTAATACCCATCAACCAAGTCGAGTGCGCTGTACTTTGTACAGCTAATCATATTGTTATGAAAATTATCCTTTCAAGGAATTGGCGTTGTGCCGGGCGTTTGGCTTATTATAAGCGTGAACGATACGCCACTGGCCGTTCGGCTTTTGGACACAAAACGTGGGTGTCAAATGGGGAGACTTGCTCTCACGCACCATTCCTGCCTTGTGCCTCAAACGGAAAAGGCGTCAATGACGTCACACTGCTTTTTGGGCAGGTGCCATTGGCATGTTACGCAGTATTTGGTTCCCGGAACCAGATCAATCTCATGACATCATCTCGGTCTGGAGGTAGGACCGACGGTGGGTCTTTGAGGATATTTCTTCACCAAAGGATAATACGAATCCAAGAAATTTATCAGGATCGACCACTTCGTGCGTTTAAAACCTTTTAAGTGTCCTCCAGGACAGCTTCATTCAAAAGCGACGAGTAAATCCCCTCGTTCGGTCTTATAATGACGACCTCGGCTCAATTACCGGCCTTCAAGGCCACCAAACTCTTCGAAGGACATCTCACCCAGCTGAAGAAGAGCATCCTCCGCGGGAATAGCCTCGAGGGTGACGCCACCGTCTTTCTCTCCCGTCATACCGTTGACAAGGATGTATAGCTGTGCGCTATCGTCTACGGTCGACACACCCTGCGTCTTGCAGATATCAGACGGCTTCGCCGTCTCCTCTCTATAGAGGTTCTACGTCTCATCGAGACCAGTGGAAGCAAGCACTTGGCGTCGTCCAGCTATCTTCCGTTCTAAAAAATGATATTTTAAGCAAAAAAATATAAAAAGAGGAAAAAGAGGAAAACAGTACTAAATAGGTTTTTGCGCAAAAACTATCGAAACCAAGTTTAATGATTTTGTACATATAATCACTGAAGAAATGGATTAAATAATATGATAGAATGATTTCTTAAATCATAGGTGAGTTTTTATATGCAGGAGCTATTTCGCAGTCTTCGTCTAGTGGAGAATTTGCCACTCCACCGCATCAAAAGGGCCTTGTTTAAGTGCCTCGGACCTCATTTGACTACGCCACTCTTGGCATGCAGCAACTGCTTCGAAACGTGAGCAGTGCTCAGTATATTACGTGCCACTCTATGCATATCACCAGGGCCTCGCCCTTGATGCCTCGGCCCTCGTCTGGCCATGCCATTATTGGTACGTAGCAACTGCTTCGTAACGTGAGCAGTGCTTAGTGGCTTACGTGCCAATCCACGTGCATCAGAAGGGTCTTGCCCTTGATGCCTTGGCCCTTGGCTGACCATGTCAAGCATGGCATGCAGCGACTGCTCCGATACTCGAGCAGCGCTCAGTGGGTAATGTGCTTCACGATCAGCATGCGAGCCATGCTCGGGACTCCTGTCCAATATACCTTCGGTGTTCAATAACTCGGATACTCCGATACCAGCACATTGACCGTCCCGGTTCTTTCCTGCGCCAAGAGCGCTTCTGCTTCTAACATAGGTGGGTTCATGACTCACCAAACCTCCACCAGAAGACGTGGGCGTAGCGCCCAAGATCTTCGACATCCAAAAAATCCGTGGCTCATGGTGTTCCAACCATGTCATACCAAGAATAAGATCATACCTTGCATCCAAGTCTAAGACTAGACAGCGTTCCATGCCATCAAAGTGACACCGAGGTCCACAGGGACCCTCGGCACAGTGACACGAATTCCCATCGCTATGTGAAGAGTGATGTCGTCACTCAACCAAGACTTCAGCGCCCCAGTATACAGCTGACTTCCTTCAATCATAGAGCGTCGAGCATAATTGCCCGACGCACCAAAATCGACAAGGATCTTCCAGATGGCTTTTCAAAGCCCTTTGCAGTCGCTTTGCGATCATCAAGCTTAGCTTGCATACACATTCTGTGTTCAAGAGCACGGAGCTCTTTGGGACTGGGCGCTACTGTCCTCTACCTTTTTGAGGTACAACAATCTCAGTTATTCCCCAACAAAAAAAACCCGCGCCTACTGGGCTTGTCGTTTCTCCGTGTCAAACCAGATTGGTAAGAAGCGGGATGTCGGTCCGGTGAACTTTTACGCGCCTTGTGCAAGGGACAACCAGACCGAAGGTGACGGGTGTCTCCACAAACAAAACACTGTCGGGTGTTAACACGCTGCTCGGCAGCTTGGAGCTCTCCCTCCAATTTCTCAGCATGAATGAGATCCATTGGATCAGACCCGCTCGACGAGCTCTGAGAGTGTAATTTTTTAACCAAGTCGTGCCGACTTGAAGCTAAATTCGGCATTCAATGCCACATTCACCGCTTCAAAAAAACGACGGGTACACACGGAAGACTTTCATTTTGGTCACGACAGTGCAGAGACCCTCCATAAAGACAGTCACTGCGACCGCCTCGGGGAGAGGATTAGCTGCTGTCCCGGCAATAAGATCTCTCAACTCTTGGACAAAGTCCACCAACTCCTTCTTGCCCTGTCGGGCAGCATGGAAACGCGAATGCACTATCAAAAGCTGACGCTTCCGCTCCTTTCAGGAGGGGAACGCCCGCTTCAGCCGAAGCACCGCACGTTAGTATTATTTTTGCGCTCGGCCCCCGAGCTTGGGATAACTAGTGCCACGCGCTGTTGCTCGTTTTGGGGCATGGCGGATGCCATAGCCATCTCAGCTCCCTCACCCAGAGCAGGACATTCGCTCCATCCTTACCCTCAAAGGTCTTAACACTCACCATAAGCGGCCTGGGTCGGGTAGAGTCATCCGTCGTCGTTGGTGGCGTCATGGTCGCCGTCGACGCTGGCAGCTTCTGCTTTAGGTGCACTAACAGAGCATTTAGTTATTTGACAACGCCTCTAGGCGCGCATTTATCACCTCGGAACCTAGCGAAACAAGGTGTTTCACGCCCTCAGGGCCCAGCAGGAACATCAGCTTATTAAGCCCGTTCTGCATGCCCTAGGGAGGATAGGAGCATCGCTATCATCACAGCGGATCAGTTGTTATGACTCAGGTGTAGATTGACTACGAGTGCTTTCAAGTGCAGCGGGGCTGCCGTAGCTTAAGCTAAGGTCACCGACCTTACGTCTTTACAAGAATATGGCGGATCGCCATTAGCTTCCTACAAGCGTACTCAAAACTTTAGCCAAGTTAAAGACGCTCTTCCATTTAAAATTGAAATTGTATTTATTGCGGCAGAGCCGCCAGTATTACCATAGGTTTTACTAATTGATATAGTAATACCTAATGAATATGGCAAACCCGACAAATATGCATTACTACTGGCAGTCCTGCCACGTAGTTGCTTCTTGTTATGGTGTAGCCACACCGTTTTGTGATTCACACCTATGTACTATAACACCATCTTGCGTGACCCGCCCTTTCATACAAGGGTACGTGTAACCCCGTTACACCAGACGCTGTGGTTGTCGTGGAGCGGTCACTTTTGATCAAAATTCTAAAAGTCATGATAAGTGTGAGCTTGATGTTGTCCACTTCTTAACAAGAGGTGGTGTAATGGAAGAAACATTCTAATCTTTTGCACTTAAGCGTTACACATTTGGCGGAGTTGTGTGAAATTTACATAGGCCTTGGGTTAGTACCGGAACAATGGCATTTATGAAGATTACGGAATTTCAAAAATAGAGATCTGAGCTGCTACTCGCACGTCAGAAAAGAAATCCAACTTTACTATAAGGGATAGTAGAACCGCCAATATTTAGTATCAGATTAAATAGAATAAGTCCTACTCGAATATACCTTTTTGACACGGCAGACTAAACTAACAGTGTTATTTTCTTAGAAGCTCTCAATTCCGTGTCTAGTAGGAATGCACAGGGCTCGACATTCGTGCAGCTGTCAACGCGGACTTTGAGAATCAGATTTTCTCTCTCGGATCCGCTCCTGGTAGGAGTAGACGAATCCGATCTCTGCGCGTTTGTCAATGCGGACTCTAAAAGTCAACGCTTCCTCTATACAAAGCGTACGGTCATTCCGTTTCAAAAGTTCAGGAAGAACATCATGCTATTGAGCTTATCTTTATGTCCGAAATGATATTATTTTCTTATATGGGCGCACACCCTAACAAGGTACGTACTACGACCGCAAGCTTTAAGATGATATATATGGTTATGTTGACTAATCATTGAAAACTCTCTACGGTACAAATATGCAACCGACCTTTTCATACAGTTGTACTTTATTTGTAATATGCCCAATTATTTGGGCACACGATGTAGTTCATTTCTTAGTTTGCCAAAAACGTCGTCACATCTTCCTACCTACAATGTCTTACAAGTGAATCCAAGCAAGACTACAAAAACGACGATATTGGATACGGCAGTTTCTTATTTTGAAATAAGACTCACCAAAATTGACAAGCTAAACGATGGTTTAGCTAACATCATCCGCTCAATCAGTGCATAAAATGGCTTCGAGTATTCCTGACGTACCACATGGTATCACTTCAAAATTCGGCTTCCTGCAGAAGGTACGGTTCGTGTAAGAAAACCGGCATGCACCAGCTCTGTCTCTAACGAAGTGTCAATACCTTCTGACTTTTTCCTCTGACGCACGATGTGCTGCCGAAGCCAAGATCGAAACGATTTGACGAAGGAATCGAAGCAGCATTTGGTGGGGAATTTTTGTAATGTGCAGCCGTACCAAGTTGACTGCTACTGAATTCGCAGATATTTGTGACAAAATGAATACTCCAAAGCGTAAACGATTTGAGTGGGAGCCCCATGTAGACCGCAGCTCAGGCTCGATATAAAGTCAGTGCTACTCTCAAGGCCTCGGATTAACTACGGTACGACTTTAGAAAAAATAGGGAGGGCAGAGCAAAAGCATTTGCCTAAAGCGGGGCATCGCGCGGAAAGAGAACGAAAAGATCAGCGAATCTCACACTTGATCTCGACAAAATATAAATCCAAGTTATACTCCATTCATCTCAAAGTTACTTGATACGAAGAGAAGATATGTATCATTGTGATCACAAACAATAGATGGCAGATCGCACAGAATTATCTAATCTGAAGGCTAGAAGCACCGCATATATTGTTATCCTGACAATATACGTCAAACTCAAACTTTGCAGTATTCGCACACAACAAATCTTTCAACTTGATTAGCGTATCAAGGCGACTTTTTCATGTCGCATTAGGCATTAGAGTTCCGCTTGTACCTCGCATGTGTGTCGTAACAGCAGAGGTGGAACCAACACCAAACTCAACAGTATACCCAGCATTAAACATTCCAGCTTTGTCAAAAGATTGCACTCGCTCTATTCGTTGTCGCAACGTTGATTTCTTATGTTGCGCAGCCTTGTGGGTATCATTTTGAGATTTGTGGGTATTTTTTCTATTTCCAGTGATTGATGTATATCCATGGTCGTCAACAGCACCCATCGATTCAGCTAGGGTTCTCTGGCTGCAGCGTATCCTAACAGTCGCTGCAGCTTTAACTGTTTTTTCCATCGCATAATTGGCTGAATGAATTAGGCACAGTAAGATTGGTAGCATCTTAATTTATCCATGTGCGTTCCTCGAATTGCAATCGAGGTTGATCGCTGGATCAATCAAAAAAATCTTTGCCCTTTTTCTCCCAGGTATTCGGTGACATCAGTCAAATGCGGTCAAAGAATTTACATCAAACTATTGTTGTTACCGCCTAAAAACATCAGATGTAATCGAGAGAGCACCTGGAACGCAATCATCTTAGCAAGCTGATTTGTTGGCGGAAATGGTACATGTATTAGCAAGCGGCGACTTGCAAAGAAAAAGACATAATGAGTAAAAGGAAATCATCGTCAAGCAAAACGGATATGAGGAGGCGTGTACAGTAATTGTAGGGCAATGCAACGTTGGACTAGCCCGTCTGTTCGTCTACGCGAATGAAACCTCCAGAACATTCGGCAGAATGTCGCTGTGGTCTTATCCAATGCTTGGTTTTGTACACAATGCTGTGGGATTGATCTCGGCGTCACTCAATTGTGGACTTATTACTGCTTAAACTGAAAGTGGGATTGTCGACGATGAGCAAGCACAGGCACCACTGCGAATTACATCAATACAATTTTTAGCTATTGTTCGCCTTCCCGATTTCCCATCCGAAGATGAATGGACCCTTACGAAAACTAAGGCATTTATAGGATTCTTGCGACTAGAGAAACAGTGTAAATACGCACTTTAACAAATTCCATGCGCACGTGTTTCTGCAGTAGCCTTCTTGACGTTCGACGGAAGCGCGGCCACTGCGCAACACGCCGGAATTATTTATATTCAGAAATATATCATAGCCTTCTATACCTCACAAGTGCCTCAGGAGCTCCATATTGAGGCTTCGCTCATCAATTTTCTACGCATTAATAATGGGTATCGGGGTTTGTCTTCACGTACACTAAATCGCCAACAGAGAAGTAATATAAAGCTAGTTAGTGAGCAGTAATAGTGATACAAAAAAGGCTGTGAGCGACAGAGTTGACTGATTAACCGTAACCTAAAGCATGTTATTCAACCTTCGGGCCTTTTCGAGATAGCTCAGTCTCTGCACACCAAAATCCTCAAGCGTTTTTCCGTTCAGTTGTTACCCCCACCCCAGCCAGAACCCGCGCCAGGTTGGCGCTTGCCACTTCTAGCAACGCACTTGCTACTTTTGGGCTTGGTGGTTGGAGGCCACCGTTGCGTACACACCACCTTTTGTCGCCCACTTCACTTTCTTGCCCAACGCCAGCAGGTTCCGCCCCTATTGAAATACACGACACATCAGCCAGCTCTTTGCTATCAGGTCTGATCTACAGTGCTTCAGCTGGCTCTGTGACATCTTTTTTGTGAGCTTTACCAAGCTCTATGCATAACTCATCAGACCGCGAGCAAATCGACATAGGACTGCAACCAGACAGCACCATCAGAGGTAGTGAAGTGTTTCGCCAGCGGCGTCTTAAGCGCAATTACTATCGTATGAGCTCCCAGGACGACGACTTTAAAATGCTCAACTCTCTACGTGGTGAGCAGCAGCAACTTTTGTGCAAATATAAGTCTGGCAAGTGTTCGAATCCTCGCGCCACAAAGCGCAATGGTCAGCTGCATACACTATGTCATTTTCACCGGGATCGCCAGAATGAGCATCAGCGCAAGAGCGATCGCAAGCATCGCATGGTCAGTGTTGCGCGACGCGCCAAGCTCGGAAGCGTTGGTGTCAGCAGCGATAACACGCGCCGACATTATTTGCACTCTATAACGTCGCTTGAAGCCGCCTTTCCTCGCGAGTCCTCCGTTTCACCGCTCAAGCGTTACGATCAGAACGCGTCGGATGCTTATATGAACGCGCAATTTGCTCCTACAAATGTGTCCAACAGCCAAGATGGAGTGCTGCCACAACCTGCTAGGATCACGCGATTACCGCCCATTAGCTTTCTAATGCCTGGGAAACTGGATGGCTATCGCGCTACTAGCACCGCCACACCCGATCAGCCGCTTAGCAGCTTCATTATCGATAGCTTGAGCGGCAACGCAGGCAAGACAGCATGATTCAGCTATAGTTCGTTACTTTGCTTTCTGCTGCTGCGTTTGCAACATTTATTATGACCACCGGCGAGATCGAAACAGTTTCATTCTTGACTGATACCGTCACTTCAAGCATCTACGGAAGAAAATCGAATTCTTTCTTTGGAGGGACAAAAGGTGTCATGCCTACCTTTAAACCACGACCGAGCCGCTATCGCTGTTATTTAAGCAGCACTAAATCCACGTGTGCTCACCCAGTTTTATGCTCTGTGTTTGCAAATCTACACTTACATTCAATCGGTGTCAAACAAGTAGATGTACGATAGCGCAGCGAACAATGAAATGCCCTACAATATCAAAGCCGCAAAACGTTCCGGATCGAGCACCACACTAGCTTTCGTATTGTCCCTTTCCTTCCGGTATCCAATCGCAGAAGTCTTTCATCGAAGTCGTTATTGCTTATGATAGACATATTTGATCCACGTAATTCGACAAGCACGTATGTTAGACGCATCAAAGCAATCATTGTCATGGCTCTGACCTAAACTCGAGGATTGTAAGCGCAGCATACGCGTGTCTGACTCGCTTCCTATGTTGTCAAATTAATTTTCTGATTGCGTGAATCTCCAATGTCCAATTCATAACTTCTACACGGTATTTCCGATGGGAGGAATCACAAAATTTATACAATTCAACGTTTGCCACCTCGTGCGACCTTCACGTTACATTTAGGAGGGAGGATTTTTCGTACAAACAACGACATCGAGAACGCTGCAAAGTGGCGATTAATACGGCACTCACTTATTCCACCAATACGGATATACGTGGCTACCTAAAAATCAACTTAAGCTCGCACTAGTTGGATTGAGCAGCGACAAGCATCTTATAGGTTAAGCAGGTTCGAAGGCTGTCTATGACATTACACGCAGAGTGCACCATTACCCTCTCGCCTCGACGGAAAGTCAAATATCCTGGGGTTAAACATTAATGGTGGATACTTGTAATTTGCTATATCTTCATTTGTTTTTCCCTTTTGGTTTTCCTTTCCGTTCGGTAATGAGAGTGAAGGTCATTTCTGCGGGTATCATCATTTCTCATTCCGCAGTCGCTAACATCCATCTCGCTGTTTGTCTACTATTGCGCTACAGGAATCTCGTCTGGGACAAAATTCGATGCTGCCATGAGTGCCGACCAGTCTTCGCAGAATTACCAGCACAATGGTGATGACGACATTATGGTGACGTCGCCAACGTCGTATGCTTTGCGCGAGTCCATCCGCCGTTCTTTGTCCTCGGCGTCAGCAGAAGTTGATGCGTTGCCTTTGCGATCCACCCAGGGCGCTGATCCAACACGGCTTCCTCGCACCTCGTCAAGAGGGAGTATTTTTAATCGGGCCCCTCCCCCTCCACCCCCGAACTACCCACCGCAGATTAGCGCGGCGTCTCAAAGTGGTGGCAGCATTAATTTAATATCTCGCCCCGTGGTAAATTCAAATCCTGATATGCAGCACGAGCAGAATCTTGAAGGGAGTGACTACTCGGGTCATTCACTTGGCCCCACCTTGGCCCCTTATGGTGGTAATCAGCACTTTGCCAGCTCGGCTACACCCTATGGAGCTACTGGAGGTACTGGTTTTAATTCTGCTACAACGCCCACGTATGGAGGATCTGAATTCAGTCAGACGGCACCGACTAACAACGCTGGCAGCCGACGCTCTATATCGCGACGCAGCATCTTCAGCCGTGAGACATTTATGCTTACACGTGGTGAGAAGGAGTCACGTATGATGGTCCCGGAAGGAACTCCCACAGAGATCAAGTGCGAAGGATACCTAACTAAAAGAGGGCACCTGTTTACAAACTGGAAAACGCGTTACTTTACGCTGAGAGGCAATGTGTTGGAGTATTTCTCGAGTGAGGAGAAGAGCAAAAAGTATGGCGCTGTTACAGTCGAAAAGGTGGCTACTTGGTCTGGAGAATCGCATGGGTTTATGTTCTACACCTCAAAGCAGATCCCTTACTATGTTTACGCCTCGTCCGAGGCGGAGCGCTCGAAATGGCTGCGAGCACTAAAAGATTTTATGGTTGAAACAGAGGATGTAAGCTGCGAAGGATACCTCACCAAGCGTGGTCACCTTGTTCCAAGTCAGCGCATGGCATACTACGTACTAAATGGTACATCCTTACGCCATTATACAGATCAACAGGCATATCGCGACAATCAATCGGCGATGGCAGAAGTGGAAATACGATCCGTTGCTTCATGGGATGGCGAAGCAAATGGTTTGATGTTTATGACCGTGACAGGAAATGTATTTTACGTGATTGCCGATACATTGGGGGAACAGCAAAAGTGGCTTTCTACGGTGAAGAAGTCTACAGCCAGCATCCCAGAACCGGTGGCTTGTGCAGGATATCTGACTAAGCAGGGTCACAAACGAAAAAGCTGGAAAAAGCGTTACTTCATTCTGCGCGGAAACACAATTTCATACTATTCGGATTATGATATGGCGAATAATGCAAAGGGTAAACCACTCGCTGAAGTGCTTGTCGAGGACGTACAGAAGTGGGAAGGTGAGCCATTTGGCTTTATGTTCGTTACTAACGAGCAAGTACCGTATTATGTATATGCCGACAATGACCGAGAGCGCACGAAGTGGATGAATGCATTAAATAAAATAAATGCAGTCGAAGAGGAACCTGTAGTAGAGAAAAAGCGTTGTCCGAATTGCAATGCAGTTCTCACTGGGTCTCGCTTCTGTGGAGCATGTGGCTTCAACTTGCGTGGCACTACGACTGGTGAGCGTGCGTCCCGAGCTCAGATGCTTCATGGCGAAGCAGACGATAACATTGACGGACGCGATGATCTCGATGATGAAACTACTCCGTTTGACGAATTGGAAGCTTTATCTGAAGGTGCGAGAACACTGTTGCTTGCTGTGATGCAGACTCCGGACGGCGTTGATGTCGGCGATAAGGAAGGCATCTATCCTAATCGAATGACTAGGGGCTCTTCGCAGCAGATGATGGAGCAGCCGGACCAGAATAAAGCTTCTGCAAGGTTCGACCAGGATATCGCGGATGCTTTTAGCGATACCGAGAATATCGAAAAACGTTATCAGAGAGATACGGATGATAGAGGTTCATATGATACGAAACCTGATACTCTTCTAGTACCACGGCGTCCAGGTGAGGAGTCTAGCAGTGGTGCGAATTCTCCGACCGTAGTGGTGCAAACAACTCAAAACGTTCCACCACCAAAGATAGCTCCTTCGAAGACCAAGTCTACTACGTTAAAGCCCAATTTCGGTATTGTCGAGCCGGAACCTAAGAGAAATAGCTTTACCTCTTTCAGTGACTCTGAAGATGAAGAGTCAAAGATTGAAACGAAGCCTGTTCCGATTCCGGGCCGACTTTCTTCTCGATCGTCGGCAGGCCTCAATATGGCTGGTAGGGGACGTCGTAAAACGATTGCGATGCTAGCAATGGAGTCAAGCAGCGACGACGAGAGTGCAGATGAAACAAAACTTCCAACAAAGCCGCCGACTGATGAAATTGTGAAGGCCGATAAGCAAGTGAAAGACTCGAATGACCTACATAAGGACAAGATTGAATTTCAAGACGAGGCTGACAATCGTGAGCGTAAGAGTTCTGCAGACTCGTTAGAATTGGATACTCGCGGCATTTCTGCCTTCGATGAGCCGGTGGTGCTGCCAACTCTGAAGCATAACGCTAACCCTGTGGTTCGCGTGAGTGAACGCACGGACAAAAAAGACATTTACAACTTTATGGAGCGAGAGCTGGATTTCACACCTCAGTTTGTGCCATCAGCCGAGTCTCCCGTCCGTTGCCGTTTTTATAGCTCTATGGCATACACAACAGCAAAAAAGGTTATCATGTTTCTATCAGATTCTGGTCCTCTTGGTCTCTGGAAGCAGGACCCGGAAAATACAGCCCTTACGATCGACCACAAGTGGTCCATGACGCCTTATTTTAGCCGTGCACAAGATGAGGGCTATGGTATTGTCGTATGCAATCCTTTTGCCAACAACGCTGTCGTGTACGAGGCGGGAGGGTTTGAGCGCGAAATTCCGGTTCCAAACTCTTCCACTCCTAAGGAGCATGTTCTTTTTGTGTGGGATCAATTTATTTCAAAGTGTAAGGGTCAAGTCTCGATTATCGCGTATGCCCGTGGTGGTTCGTTAGTTAAATCTATACTTGAAACATACGAGCTCAGCGCTCGCGAAAAAATTTTCCGTATTGCATTGATAGAGTCCAAGCATGAAATCGATCACAACGAATCTCCTGGAATCTTGGAGCTACTTGGGCGCCGATCAATTAATTGGGAAGCATCTTACGAGCCGCTGGGTGCCCAGATTGTAGACTCACAGGCACGTGTGAATTGCGTATGTTTATCGTTAGGCTTCATGCCATCACAGGAAGCTGACAACACACCAAAAACACTGGAGAAGGCAGAAGATCCTGCCTTCGCCTTCATCAATGCGAATCCAAGCCAACCTGGCATGACTGCCGTAGTGAAACACGTTCGGGCGGAGCTGAGAAAGAGAAAAGCTGCTACAGGTCTTAACGCTATCAAGCGGCGGCAGTCTAATATTATCGTGATTGGTGAGACGGATGGCGACGAATCGAGCGATGTGTCTGGTGGGGCTGATGAAGTCAAAACTGGGAACAAAATTAGTTCCGATAGTAATGACAGTGCAGATGACGGCAAAATAAAGGCTACATACTACCTGCCGAAGCCAGTACCAAAGCGCAGCAATAATTTTGGAAGCAGTGCTACAAGCGATCAGCCGCAACGTGTCATTTCTGACAAAGACTTTGAATTAATGAAAGTTGTTGGTCAAGGTGGCTTCGGCAAGGTCTTTTTGTGTCGCAAGATCACACCGCCACGCCAAGGCGAGCACTATGCTATGAAGGTACTGAAGAAGCAGCAGGTTGTATCGTCCGGCCTCGTAAATACGACCATGGCTGAACGCAAAATTTTGACGGAAATTTCTCACCCATTTGTTGTCAAGCTGCACTACGCATTTCAAAGTGAGTCGAAATTGTACCTAGTCATGGATTATCTCAGCGGTGGTTCCCTCGCAACACATCTGCGTCGACGCCGAAAATTCCCCGAGGACTGGGCTCGCTTCTATGCCGCCGAGGTCGCGGCGGCCATTGCACATTTACACAGTGCAAACATCATTTACCGCGATGCCAAGCTTGAAAATGTGCTGATGGACCACGACGGCCACGTGCGTATCACCGATTTTGGCCTGTCTAAAGTTGGGGTGTCGGGCCTCAAGGGTGCTACGACTTTTTGTGGTACAGCTGCATATATTGCACCTGAACTCCTGAGAGGAAAGGCTTATGGCAAGGCTGCAGACTGGTGGTCGTTCGGCATACTATTATACGAAATGATTGGAGGAAAGCCACCATACTATCATCGCAACCGTGACATTATGTTCCAGACCATTTTGAAGCAGGACTGGGTCACCTTTTCGCCCAGCTTTTCAGACGCTGCAATCTCACTTATCAATGGGGTACGTAGCTTAATTGTTTTCTTTTGGTGGTGGCCTATCACTGACGTTTTTATGATGTAACTATTGCAGCTACTCACCCGCGACCCAATGATACGTCTTGGGAGTGGTCCTCGCGGAGCTGATGAAGTTTTGACCCATCCATTTTTTGATTGCATTGACTGGCCAGAGCTGCTGGAGCGTCGAATGCTGCCACCATTCAATCCGGGAGTAGGCAAGATGGATACACACTATGCTCCTCGAAATATGAACGAAATTACTGCACGTGACCGCGAGCCCAGTGTGATGATGGCAAAAACTGACCGCCCGAACGACTTTGATGGATTCAGTTTTGTGGGGCGGCCTTCGTCGCTTTCAAATGTGTAATAAAAACCTGCCAGGCAGGATACGCTTGCTGGCTTACTGACACCGATGTGACGACAGCTTAGATACAATAAGTAAGGGAAGAAGAGATAGTGGTTCGACGCAGCCTCGACAGCCTTTTAGAATCCAAGTTCCGGAAAAGGCGCGAGTTTATCTCAGTCTTTATAGCAATAGCAAACCGGCAAACAAGGAATATGCTTAGAATTGGATTCACGCTCAAAAGTACAGCGGGTCCAGATAGTTTTACCCCGCCTAACTTGAATATGTAATTGTTGGTGTAGTTCATGAGCACCAAACGCGAATTACGCGAGAGCAGAAAACTTTGATGCTTTCAGGTACAAAAGCTGATGATGCTGTGGCTTAGCCTGTTTCTTGTCATATAAGCATATATTTTTGCAAGGTTATATACTATTTGTCGAGGGTGCCATCAATTCGTCCAGCAGTACACTTTGCCATTCTTTCGAGCGCGATGGTGTCTACGTTATTCAGACACTGAGCTCGAACAGGCTTGCCGGTCATACTGGGACATACAAACTCATAGTGAACCTGTATTAGGGATTAGGTTGATCAAAATATTCAAACGAATACAAAAACAAATTTCTGAGAGTCAGTGTTTTATCATAATCGATTAAGACGCCCCTATACACCCGCCACTAAGAATCGGAATGATCTAATTTGAGAAAAGTAGATTTACTCTCAGTTGACCCGTTTCGTTAATCAATGTCAATCAGCTGTAGCGCTTGTGAGAGCATGTTCTCACTACCATCAGTTATTCAATTGCGCAATGCAAGTGAGCCTCGCTCACAACAGTCCCTAAAACACAACACACGCTTGTGCGAAGGAAATAATTCCCGACTTGGAAGATTTAAGGGCTTGGAGGTATATTGCAACTGAATGAAATCGAGTTTACGGTTCCTAGAGATACATGCAAAACCCCTAGGCTCCTATGATTCTCATATAAAGGGTGTACAGAGTTTGATCCTTAGCTTGAACTTATAAAAAGATTCTGCGTTTACGGAGTTTGCACCCGAATGATCTGACCTTCAACTTTCGTGAGATATTTCCAGTATAGGTGAATGGCTTACGCTACCCACTTCAAAAGACAGAGACACGTCGGTCTCGTCACCAGTACAAATTTCAGAGTAAAAACCAGAATTCTGCGTCATACAGAATCGTGACGTCATATAAGATGCCACATATGCACTTGGAAACACCATTCTGTATTTTTGTGAATACATTGCGGGGATACCTCCATGTTAATATTCTCATCACACTCAAGTCTATTACTAGACCATGATATCAAGAGTGGGATTTCAAAAGACCGAAGCACATCGTCGTGGAAAGCGTGCCGCCACATCGATTTTAAAACGTCCAGGCTAGACCATGACTCCGGCCACGGCAAATACCAAGGCCAAAGATTAAAAATGTACAAGCGATGCTGTTCATTGAGCACCGCTTTTTAATCTTACCTTTGACGCCCACCTATCGGGAACCTTCGATACAAAGTATATTCCAGCGACTCCACTGCCGAAAAGAGTGACTCCAACGTGTTCAAAATACATGCTTCCCAGTTTCTACGGACAATTACTCAGCACAGACGGATATGAGTCTGATTGCTCAAACGGTGGCACACCCACTTCAACTTAAACCACTAGTATCGATTTATGAAAGGGTCAGCCCCTAGTGCCCGTATCACGCAGCGCCTTAAGCAGTAAGAAAATTATAAGCCCTCAGGTCAAAGCGTCTGTCGCTTTCTGCTCGCTGCCCTGGTCCTGGCTTTCCAGAGCCAGGAACCGTTCTGGTAAGAAGCGACTTCAAGCACGCAGCTTTGCAACCAATGCGCTCGTCATCTAAACCACGCTACCCCCTCGCCACTTATATCAAGCGTTTTGGCTAAGACAGAAAATTCAAGGACGAAGAGAGAGTTAAACAACATATTCAAGAAAGCTACTCACGACTACTATTAACACCAGCCACTGCTCGGACTGTACATTTCATGGTATCGATGCTTGATGTGCATCATCTCTACCGCAGCAAAGGGCTACTTCACACAGAAAACTAACTAGTCCCGAGGGCTATAACTCGCCCGTCAACACCATACCTCCCTTGCTTTGCCGTGGACTGGTGGGAGAGGCCTGGAGATGACCGAGCAATGATGGAGACACTTTGCAGCGGGGCTGCCGTAGATCTTTCGCTTAGAGGAAGCTTGGTTAAGGTCGGTGACCTTCATTCTATACTTAGAACAAGTACAAGTGCAGCGGATCGCAATTCACTCACTACTAGAGTAATTACAACCTTAATGCAAGGCTAGTCAACTCTTCCGTTTCAGAACGTAAACTGTATTTCTCGGTTCTGTTTGCGGCGAAGTCACCTATAAAAGAATTTTTATCGATATAGTAAAACCTAATTCAATGTATAACTACTGATTATTCCAGCCACGTACTGACTTGTTGTTTAAGATTAGCGACACCATTGTGTGGTCACACCATCTCGTATCACTTACACCATTGTGTGATCACACCCTCTTGTGTGACCCACACTCTTCATGTGAAACCCCGTTACACCCATCCCGTCAAGATTGTGAACACCTACAGTTCACAACTATTATCGCTTCGAATGAGGCTCGCGTGTCTAAGATACCACAAAATAAGCTGGAGCTTTTTCACCAATTCTCTGCTTAATGAGCCCTGTGTCGAGGACACAAAAGACCTTCAGCCTCGCTGTTTCGAAAAAAATTACCGCGGCAAGAGCTCGTCTTCGTCTCCCGCACGCGGTGCAACTCTGGGCACCACGTCCGCGAATTTAAGATAAGCGCAGCCCAAGCTCTCGGTACCGAGTTCCGCGCAGCGCATTGTCAGCGGCAGGGTCGCACGACCTAGGGCACAGACGCGATGTCTACTCCCAACAGCGCACTGCGCCCGCCACGGGCGATGGATGACCTCGTCAAGTATTTGGAGGAAGTCGACGACGAGTCAGATGGTCCTTTCCCATGATGGGAAGAAGACGACGAGGTGCCCAAGCGGCGCGACGTGAGCCTTGCTTGAAGTTTGCGGACGCCGTGTTCGTTCCCCAAACTCTCGACTTCCGGGGAAAGTGGTGTCATCACCAACCACCTCGACAAGACACAAAAGCAGCAGCTGGATGCTGTTCGCAGGGTGGCTCTCGTGCGCGCACATTCACGGTTGGCCTTTGACCATCGTGTGGACTTCGGCTTACGCTTGCCGGATCCCGCTTCAGAAGCAAAGGAAGCGATCGCTGAAACGTTAGACGTCTACGAAGTCTGGCCCTTGGCCACTACACAAGCTGAGCTTGACGAATGAAAAGCTCTTCGAGCTAGCTTCTTGTTCCCGCAAGAAATCCTGTACCGCACTCGACTTCGTGCTCAAAGAGGGGGCGCTCCTGTAACCGCAATTTGGACGATTCTGTGGTGCTCGCCCCTGGCGAAACCGCTGTAGATGACGAAGATCTATTTGAGCTATGGCACAGCGGCACCGGAAACATTCATCGCTGTATAAGTCATCACGCTCCTGCGAGATCTATGGTCTCTCATACGGGTGATCCTACGACCGCAACAGCTCAGGGCCATCCTTTGAGCTCAGCCCATGGTCCTTCAACTTCCAGGGATATTGCCGGGAAGAGCAGAGCACCCGACGACACGGAAAGTCATGATTTCTCTGACCATAAGCGTCCACGACGTCTGGGCAGTCTTGCCAAAGTGGCGCTTCAAACTACCACGACTTCTCGAAGTCGGAATATCCCCGTCACTTCAAAAGATACTGGGCTCGACCCTGGCGACAATGTCGACCCACAAGACATTCCATGTGATAGCGGACACCACCAATTCGTCAAGAAGAGTCGGCGGTGGACGATAACGACATGGTCGATCGCTGTCCGGTGAGTCGCGATGCTCTTCAAGCTCTTGAGGACGAGGTCCGACGCGATCGAGACTCCGCTAAGCATCATGCTGAGGTCGCATACCGTTGTGCGGAAGTCCTAGAGAGCTTGAAGCACGTTGTTCACCGGTTGCATCACGTTGAGGAATATCGCGCTCTGTTGGAAAAGCTCAAAGTTGGTGAGCAGACGAATGCGTCGCTCATGTAGAGATGGAGCGCCTGGCGCCGTTGAAGATGGAGATTGTTGCACTCCGTGCTCAAAACCAGTTGCTGGCCCAGCTTCTGGGTGGTCAAGCGCCTGTGGATGTCGCTCCGGCGCCAGCACTTCCCCATGCACTTGCACTGGATATCGGTACGAATTAATCAAGCCCACATAAAACACCGGTTGGGTGCGCATCCTTCTTGGAAGGTTAAGCGTATACGCGAGACTGCGCTTGACCACAACCTTGATAGGTCCGATAAACCGTGGACGTAACTTTGTCTTAAAGACAGCAGAGACTACATGCATAGGATGGCTTTAGTATTTAGTAAAACCAGGTCTCTGACCTCAAAGCTTTTGACAGTTTTTCTAGGCCTTCCGTCTGATTATTCGTTCTGCATGTCCTGGCTTTCAGCCATCGCATCGCGAACGTGTCCTAAGACAATCAACTTGGTAGATAGGAAGTCATCAACTTCTTTACGGACAGTGAGAGGTTTGACATCAGCTAGCTGCTCGGCTATTCCTCCCCCACCAAGCCCTGAACCATGGGATGGCGGCGTCAGCAGGACGCGAGGATAAACAAGCCCGTTCACGTAGAACAGTACACGAATGCACGAATGCACCGCATTGTTCAGAGCGAGCTCTACGAGTGACAGCATGGCGCTTCAGCGCCTCGGAGTCTCAGTGCTGACACTTCGAGAACGTCCTCGACGACGCAATTCACGCGCTCAGTTTGACCATCGGTTTGCGATGGCCCGCTGTCGGCCACGTCAATGTGGTGTCCAGCTCCCAGAAAATTGTCGACCAAAACTTCCCAGTGAAGCGTGAGTCTCTGTTAGAGACAATTGACTCCGGGTGTCCATGCTGTCGAAAGACACGATCGTAAACTCCGTCCCTGTACCCACACCGTCGATGGTGTCCGGGACTGCCGCAACATGAGCCATCTTTCTCAAACGGTCGAAGAAGACCACGACAACCGTGTTACCCCTCCGAGTTCTTCTGCAGACCAAACACAAAGTCCAAATTCAATGACTACCAACACCCGGAGGGTACCGGCAATCTGGTTTACGGTGACGCCGCATCTGGAGAAGGCTTCACCCTTTAACACGTCTCACACGAGCGCACATAGGCGCTCGTCCATTTGTACACCAGTAGTGGCAACTCGCAGAGCTGTAGGTCTTCTCATGGCCAAGGTGATCACTGAGTGACGTGTCATGGGCCTTATAGAGTATACAGTACTTTAAATCCTCATCGTGAGGAACCACAAATCGTTGTGTATCCGTCGAGTCGGTGCTATACTGCAATCCGATATTCGACGAATATCGGTGCAACCATGTACGCAGTCGCGAAGACAACTTCTTGACCGAGTCTCGAAAGAGTTTGCTTCCGAGAGTCCGTAGTAGCGCTACGCACACATCGCCAGCCGTGAACACGACGCGGATAGTATCCGTCACTGACGACGTCACCGTCGTGACATGAGCAATATCCTAATTCGTTCTGCGTGAGCGCATCAGCCAAAGTATTCTGCTTTCCTGGCTCATTCTTCACCTCGAAGTGATATTCTGCGAAGAGGGAGAGCCACCTGGCCATCCTCTGCGAGAGGTGAGGCGACTAGTGCGTAGCGACGCATGATCTGTGTAGATCACAACCGGCTTTGAGCCAAGAAGGTGCACCATAAATTTGACAGGTGCATACTTAATCGCAAGTAATTCCCTGTCATGGACTGTGTAGTTCTTCTCCACAGCCTTAAGCTGATGATATTCGAACGCGATCACCTGATCTTGCCCCTCGGCGTCTGTTTGCAGCAGTGCACAGCCGATGGCAAAGTCCGACGCGTCACAGACGACACTAAATGGACAATCGGGGCCTGGCAACGCCAGTATTAGTGCATGAAAGAGGCCGTCTTTGACCCGTCAAAAGCCTCCCGATGCTCGGTGTCCCAACACCATTCCGTATTTCTCTTAAGGACATTCGACAATGGCCGTACCATTTCTGCATAATAAGTGCTATTCTTGTGCAAGTAGTTGGCGAGGCCAAGCCACTTGCTTATAACCGTTTGGTTCTTTGGCACCGGCCAGTTCACAATGTCCTTGACCTTAGCATGATCCGCTCGAAGGCTACGCTTCACAATGAAGCACCCAAAAAAGTGGATTTCTTAAAGCTGAAGATGCTTTTATCGGCATTACCATACAGCTTATTCGTGCGAATGCACTTGAAAACCACTCTTAAATGGCACTACTGTGGACGAGGATGTCGTCGAAGTATGTCTGGGCATTCGCCCGGTGGGGCCTGAACAACTGCGTCACAAGTCGATTAAATGTTACTGGAGCATTTGACTGCCCTTGGGGCGTCAGCAGCTACTCCCAGAGCATTCCGCTCGGAGTATCGCTGCTGTCAGCGGAATATTACTCGCTCTTATGAGCAATTCGTAATACCCATTGACCAAATCGAGTGAACTGTACTTTGTACA